GAGTAGAAAGCCTCATCTCTCTTTCTCAGAGAGGCGGGTGGTTTCAAACTGCTGACTTGATAATTAGCAACTCAGTGCATCACCCCAAACTACCACAAACAAACAAACAAAAAAAGATTGTAACTCTATGGGAGTAGAAAAGCCCCATCTTTCTCCAGAGGAGCTGCGAGTCGTTTTGAACTGCTGACCTTGTGGTTCGCAGCCCAATGTGTCACCACTAAGCACCAAGGCTCCTTACTGGCCATTCAATCAACTTTGATGCATGGCGCCCCCATGTGTGTCAGAATAGAACTACATTCCTCAGGCTTTCAGTGGCTGGTCTCTTTGGCTTTAACCATTTTATTGGGAGCTCTGACCTTACTACACCATTCCACAGTTCAATCACATTGAGCAGTATTGTACGATTACTACTACAATCGGTTTCAAAACATTTTCTTTCTTATTGAACTCCTTGATTTCTGCTCCCTGCCTCCCCCCTCCGTCACCAATGGCTGTTTTTTGTTGTTTTTTTCAAAAGAGGTCACTGGCTTATCGTATGAGATGCTGCTGCCGGGGACCTGAACTGGCATCTTTCAATTAGCAGCTGAGACTGTCATCACTCCCAGCAAGCAAGTGTTTGAATGACTTGTGGGTCCCCAAGGTATATGTTAATCTCTTATGTAAGAGGGATTTGCGTGGCTACCTGAAGTCACAGAGCTTGACTCTTGTCACCGTTCTACTCTCGTCTAAAGGGTTGCTATGCGTTAGAACTGACTTGCTGGTAGTTGGACTTTTGGGTTTGTTCTGGGGAAGTTTGTGAAGGCGCACGCAAGAGTGATGCTCTTTGTAGTAAATTTACATTCAGGAGAGGGGTGAAGGGTTGGGTACAGGGGTGCTGGCCCCATATGAAGCCAAGCAACAGGACAGCGTGGGTGTGGGCGTGCACTGCCCAGCTCCACGGGGTCCTCAGGTGACCAGTCAGACACATCTTGTCCAAACCAGTCTCTCCACACTTCTACACCCCGGCTCTTCCCCACCAACCTCCGGCACCCAGGCATCCATGGAGGCAGGAGACTCATATGTACAGTGGAGCAGAATGCTTATGACTACTGTATGCCAGCCTCACCCACCTGAAGTGTTCCACACACCTTTTGTGCATGGCCCCACTCACACAAGGCCACCATGCTCCTGATTTGCATTACTAGTAAGCTATCCAACGCCATAGAGGGGCCACAGAGCACCTCATTTGCATAGCATCACCCAATTATTTGGAAGGAGTTACCAGGACCACAGCTAAGAGGACCGTAATAAGTCATTCCGTGAACCTCAGCTGCCTGGGGGTCACAGCCTTGGAAATCTCCAAGCACACACGGGGTTGTCAGGGGACAGAATCCACTCCATGGCAGCTGAGAACAACCACAAAGCTTGCTGGCCACACCTCGGCCGAAGGTCTTCAATCAGCTCATGTAAGCCTTGCAGGGATACCAACCCCGCAAGAAGCCACGTAGCACCGTGGGTTAGATGTGGAGCTACTAAATGGAAGGGATACCAACCCCGAGTCAAACCCACTGCTGCGGTGTCTGTCCACGCTGACTCATAGAGACCCTTGATCGGGTTTCCAGGACTGTATATCTTGATGGGATCAGACCACCTCATCCTTCCCCTTCAGAGCAACTGGGAGTGGTTGCGAATTGGGCTGCTAACTGCAAGGTCAGCAGTTTGAAACCACCAGCCACTCCTCAGGAGAGATATGGGGCTTTCTACTCCCACAAAGAGTTACAGTCTCAGAAATCCCCAGGACAGTTCCACCCCGTCCCATGAGAGCCACTAGGAGTCGGCGTGGACTAGAGGCCAGTGAGTTGGGTCTGGGTTTGGGTTTAACCCTAAGATTAGCAGGTGACCCCAAATCACCACCAGGGCTCCTTTCCGTGTTTCCCCTGAAAGGCTGTTTAGTTTACAGATGACAAGACCGGGTGTTTTTGGTTATGTCAGATCGTTGTAACAGACGTGCTAGAAATGATGGCTCGAGAGAACAAGTTCGTTTGCTCATGGTTCAGGAAGCGAACCAACAACGAAACAAAAACACCAGACTCCTTGCTGTAGAGTCCGTTCTGACTCAAAGTGACCCGACAGGCCAGGCTAGGACTGCCCCTGTGGCTTTCCGAGACTGGAACGCTTCACAGAAGTGTCAAGCCTCGTTTTTCTCCCACGAAGCAGCTGGTGGTTTCAAACTGCTGGCCTCGTGGTTAGCCACCTGACTTGTAACTCATGATTCTACCAGGGCTCAAAGTCTAACACTGGGGGACTGGCTCTAGGGGAGGGCTCTCTGGACACCAGCAGAGGGAAATCTTTGCCTCAGCTTTAGGAAGGTCAGGGTGCCTAGTGCCTTGGGAACCTCCATGTGGCGTCTGTCTTCCCTCCCTTTATATTTGCTTCTCTGTGTCTCACCTGCCCTTTTGACATCTCAAAGTTCACTATTAAATTTTTATCGCTCGAACCAAAAATTATCCCCCGAAATCATGTTTCAAGCAAACAACACTGAACAATAGAGAGAGAAATTATCTAGAGGTCAGGAACATGAGACCTAACTGTGATGATATACGACTCCTTTTGCAAAGCAATTGAACCATGAAAGTGTATGATATGTGAATGCTATATCAAGAAAACTACAAAACCACCACCACAAACAAACTTGACCAACGGTCACCATGGGTGAAGGAGGAAGCGCTGTTGCTTAAGGAGCATTGAGTTTATGGTAATGGTGGCGGAATCACTTGGGAAAGGCTATCAAGAATGGTTGGACCACGCACGCACGCATGCGAAGAATTACACATGTAGAGGTGGTGGAATTGTAGAATGTTCTGTGTGTGTCTGTTCTTGCCACAACTGACAAAAGTAATTATGTCCTAGAGTTGGTGGTGGTGGTAATTGTACAACACTTCTTGCTGTGACTGAAGGGTTGAATCATGCGGATGAAGCACCACTACAATGGTAACTGTTAAGAAGAATTGTCTAATGGAAACCTGTTTTGCTACATACACTTTCATCAAAAGTAGCATAAAATAGGATTTCAATTAGCAAAAGGGGAGGAGATGCAGCACATCAAGACACAGAGTCAAACCATCAGTCAACCAATGTGCATTTATTGAGCACTTACTATATTCTCAGAGCTCCTCTTGGCTCTGTTCAGACAGCTGGCCATGGTTGTGTTACTTCCACGGAGTTGACCATCTGGCAACACGAGCGGAGAGGAAATAACAAGAGAGCCCTTAAGTGGCTTTGGTCTGGACCACTACATTCATTTTGGCCATCGGGACGTTGGACGCGATGGCTCTGATGGTCAGAGAATCAGACTCCAGCTCCAGGGTCTGCCGGGGTGCCCGCAGGACGCATTTCACCACCTTCATCTCTTGGGACCCCTTCTCCTGAAGGATGTTATCAAAGACACTGCCCAGCTGGTCACTGGTAATTGGCCCTGTTAGAGCAGCCAAGGCAAACTCGATACTGTGGTGGGCATAGTTGGGGGACGTGGAGAACAGGAGGGCCAGGTGCACTTCCGGCCCTTGGTAGACCAGTAAGCCCACACAAGCCGGGGAGCTAGGACTTGTCTTCACAAAGGAGCAGCTGATGGTGGATTGTGGGGGCAGCACGGGTGGTGGGGCCACTTGGACACAGCCAGTTGGGCAGTAAAACCTGGAGAAGAAGGGTAGGTAGAGATCACCTGGTGGTGGTGTGGTTTATGTGTTGAGTGACTGGTCCTTAGGTCAGCCACCAGCCGCCCCTCAGGACAAAGATGAGCCTGCTCCTTAGGACTGACAGCCTCAGGCAATGCATGTGGATGAAGCCCCCGGCAAATTCCTTCAGAATACAGGTCAGGGATGGGAACACCCTTGCTATCATACGAAGTGCATTGGAAAGAGGATTATGACATCTACAACCACTTTAAAAGCTCACACCTTATCATTTCATCGCCCTTTGACCCATTTCCAAGTTGTCCTGGTTTTACGGATTGTCTGTTTTCTTTCCAACTGTGGTTTTCCTCTGTCTCATTTTGTTACTGTTGGTGGCTCTGAGGACTCGTTGTTTCCTATTCTTATGTTTCCCAACATAGGAAATCCCGGATGGGCGAAGCTATAGGGATGGTCACTGGATTAAGGGTTCCTTGGGGGGGTGGCAGGGGAGGTTGGGGGCAATTGGGGAGTTCATAAAACAGGAAAAGAGAATTTTCTAAAATGGAGAGTGGCGATGATTATACAACACTGCTTGACATGATTGAACTACTGAAGTGTATGACATTTGGATTATGACCCAATGAAATGATTCTTTTTTTAAATAAAGGATTTACAGCCTCAGAAACCCAAAGGGGACAGCTCTCCTCTGTCCTGTAGTGTTGCTGTGAATCTGAACCAACATTCAA